CGGGCCCCATCTAAAACGGACCATCCCTGGTGCTTTCGAGGAAGGCAGTTTACGAATCACACCCCGGCTTAGCCTGGGGGAGATGCCTTCCTGAGCCCCGAGAGCATGCCAGTTAGCAGGGCAGGATGATCAGCTCCAGCGCTCGCGATTGCAACGCGACCTGGATTCTGTGTCACTCCAGCCCCTGGCCCCTGTGATGGCGAGAAACCGATTTTCCAGCCGGTGTTGGTTGGCGGCTGGTTTGCCGCCATCCGTTCGCCTGCCAGCAGCGTCCTTTCAACAGCTCCTCGCCCGCCCTGGTATTCAGTCCACCCCCGGCCGAGGAATTTATAGATGGCAGACGGATCCCCTGTCAGCCGGCCTTTTGCTAGACTAAACAAGACCGGAGCTTTCACTCTCCTCTTGTCAGCCTGGATCGCTGCTCCCTGGGTTGTCTCTCCAGTGCCTGCTCTGTAATCCCTCCATCGGGAAGAGGGGGGATGGATGAACACCCCCCAGATTCCAAACCTCTGGTCCCCCGCCTCTCCTGGAGACCCGCCCGGGCCGCTCGGTGCGGCAAACCTGAGCACTGAAGTGGCACGGGGGACCACCTGCTGAGTTAGAAACCAGGTGGGGCAAGCTCTCCTGGGCACCGGGAGACTCGAAGGAACTGGTCTACCCAGGCAGGTTTGCAAACGATGAGTCTTTAATCTGGATTAGTTGCCTGCATGGAGGTGGACAGATAGGAGCTTGTCCCTTCTAAGGGGTGCCAGATTCCACCTGGCCCTGGGGGCCCGGGCCGCTCGGTGCGGCAAACCTGAGCACTGAAGTGGCACGGGGGACCACCTGCTGAGTTAGAAACCAGGTGGGGCAAGCTCTCCTGGGCACCGGGAGACTCGAAGGAACTGGTCTACCCAGGCAGGTTTGCAAACGATGAGTCTTTAATCTGGATTAGTTGCCTGCATGGAGGTGGACAGATAGGAGCTTGTCCCTTCTAAGGGGTGCCAGATTCCACCTGGCCCTGGGGGACCAGGACTGGAGCGCATGGCCTGTCCTTTAGGGGGCACCAGGTTCCATCTGGCCCTGGGGGACGGGGACTGGAGCGCATGGCCTGTCCTCTAGGGGGCACCATATTCCACGGGGGCGCCAGGTTCCATCCGGCTCCGGGGGACTGGGACTGGAGCACATGGCCTGTCCTCTAGGGGGCGCCAGGTTCCATCCGGCTCCGGGGGACTGGGACTGGAGCACATGGCCTGTCCTCTAGGGGGCGCCAGGTTCCATCCGGCTCCGGGGGACTGGGACTGGAGCACATGGCCTGTCCTCTAGGGGGCGCCAGGTTCCATCCGGCTCCGGGGGACGGGGACTGGAGCGCATGGCCTGTCCTTTAGGGGGCGCCAGGTAGCTCCAATCCATCCCCTTTAAGGGGCGTAAGGATACAAGGTGGAGCCAAAGGTCTGAGAAGTAGTTCCAAGCCAATTCTTCAAGGCACATGTGCCCCGTTCGTGGTGCAAATCAAGTTCCCCAGCTGGGCCCATCACGCTGTCCCCAATCACCGTATCCCTCCGCCCAGGGGAGAGGAACTATTTGTAGAGCCCCAGGGTGGGGCTGTGATAGAGGCACATGTAGGCGTCGCAGAGCAGGCGTCGGGCGCAGGGGGGCAGGGATTTGGGGTCCAGCGCCTGGAGTTCCTCGGGGCTCATCTCCAGGTAGTCGGCCACCTCCGGGCAAGGCGTGACTTGCGGGATGTTGAAACCGTTCTCGCCGCCTGGAGAAGAGGGGGGGAGGGAGAAAAGGAGAGAAGGGTGAAATAACGGGGCGGAAAGGAGGAGAAAACAGGAAGGAGAAACTGGAGGGAGGAAAGAGAGAAATGAGGAAACGGAGAGAAGACGGGGAACCAGGAGCGAACGAGTGAAGGGACGGACACAGAAAACAGGAGCGGGACAGGGCAAGAGGAGAACGGAGGCGCGAAGAGAGAAAACAAGAAGGAGAAAAGGGAGGGAGAGAGAAGGGGAGGCCAAGGCTGGAACAAGAGGGATGGAAAAAGGCTGAGAAGGATGGCAAGGAAGGCGAGAGAGAGGAGAACCGGGGGGAAGAAGAAGGAGAGCAAGTCAGGAAAACGTGAAAGAAAAGGGGGGAAGAGGGAAGAGAAGGGGAAAGACAAGTGCAGAGCAGAAAACGGACACAGCGGGGAGAGAGATGATGGGACGGGGAAATGGAGAAAAGAAAAGAAGGGAGAGAGGAGGAAAGGGAAGTGGGGAAAGAAAGAAAGAAAGAAAGAAAGAAAGGGCTGTGTCCAGACTCAAGGTTTTTTTCGAATAAACTTCACTTGCGTCTAGACCTTTCGAAAAAAGGCGTTCTTGAAAGCAAACAGGGCTTTTTAGACAGAGAGCATCCAGACTCACTTGGTGCTCTCTTTCGAAAACGCGGCTTGCGTTTTCGAAAGTACGGTGGTCAGAGCAGCGTGGGAGCCAGGACTCCTGGGTTCTCTCTCCAGCGCTGGGAGGGCAGTGGGGGCGAGTGGTCAGAGCAGCGTGGGAGCCAGGACTCCTGGGTTCTCTCTCCAGCGCTGGGAGGGCAGTGGGGGCGAGTGGTCAGAGCAGCGTGGGAGCCAGGACTCCTGGGTTCTCTCTCCAGCGCTGGGAGGGCAGTGGGGGCGAGTGGTCAGAGCAGCGTGGGAGCCAGGACTCCTGGGTTCTCTCTCCAGCGCTGGGAGGGCAGTGGGGGCGAGTGGTCAGAGCAGCGTGGGAGCCAGGACTCCTGGGTTCTCTCTCCAGCGCTGGGAGGGCAGTGGGGGCGAGTGGTCAGAGCAGCGTGGGAGCCAGGACTCCTGGGTTCTCTCTCCAGCGCTGGGAGGGCAGTGGGGGCGAGTGGTCAGAGCAGCGTGGGAGCCAGGACTCCTGGGTTCTCTCTCCAGCGCTGGGAGGGCAGTGGGGGCGAGTGGTCAGAGCAGCGTGGGAGCCAGGACTCCTGGGTTCTCTCTCCAGCGCTGGGAGGGCAGTGGGGGCGAGTGGTCAGAGCAGCGTGGGAGCCAGGACTCCTGGGTTCTCTCTCCAGCGCTGGGAGGGCAGTGGGGGCGAGTGGTCAGAGCAGCGTGGGAGCCAGGACTCCTGGGTTCTCTCTCCAGCGCTGGGAGGGCAGTGGGGGCGAGTGGTCAGAGCAGCGTGGGAGCCAGGACTCCTGGGTTCTCTCTCCAGCGCTGGGAGGGCAGTGGGGGCGAGTGGTCAGAGCAGCGTGGGAGCCAGGACTCCTGGGTTCTCTCTCCAGCGCTGGGAGGGCAGTGGGGGCGAGTGGTCAGAGCAGCGTGGGAGCCAGGACTCCTGGGTTCTCTCTCCAGCGCTGGGAGGGCAGTGGGGGCGAGTGGTCAGAGCAGCGTGGGAGCCAGGACTCCTGGGTTCTCTCTCCAGCGCTGGGAGGGCAGTGGGGGCGAGTGGTCAGAGCAGCGTGGGAGCCAGGACTCCTGGGTTCTCTCTCCAGCGCTGGGAGGGCAGTGGGGGCGAGTGGTCAGAGCAGCGTGGGAGCCAGGACTCCTGGGTTCTCTCTCCAGCGCTGGGAGGGCAGTGGGGGCGAGTGGTCAGAGCAGCGTGGGAGCCAGGACTCCTGGGTTCTCTCTCCAGCGCTGGGAGGGCAGTGGGGGCGAGTGGTCAGAGCAGCGTGGGAGCCAGGACTCCTGGGTTCTCTCTCCAGCGCTGGGAGGGCAGTGGGGGCGAGTGGTCAGAGCAGCGTGGGAGCCAGGACTCCTGGGTTCTCTCTCCAGCGCTGGGAGGGCAGTGGGGGCGAGTGGTCAGAGCAGCGTGGGAGCCAGGACTCCTGGGTTCTCTCTCCAGCGCTGGGAGGGCAGTGGGGGCGAGTGGTCAGAGCAGCGTGGGAGCCAGGACTCCTGGGTTCTCTCTCCAGCGCTGGGAGGGCAGTGGGGGCGAGTGGTCAGAGCAGCGTGGGAGCCAGGACTCCTGGGTTCTCTCTCCAGCGCTGGGAGGGCAGTGGGGGCGAGTGGTCAGAGCAGCGTGGGAGCCAGGACTCCTGGGTTCTCTCTCCAGCGCTGGGAGGGCAGTGGGGGCGAGTGGTCAGAGCAGCGTGGGAGCCAGGACTCCTGGGTTCTCTCTCCAGCGCTGGGAGGGCAGTGGGGGCGAGTGGTCAGAGCAGCGTGGGAGCCAGGACTCCTGGGTTCTCTCTCCAGCGCTGGGAGGGCAGTGGGGGCGAGTGGTCAGAGCAGCGTGGGAGCCAGGACTCCTGGGTTCTCTCTCCAGCGCTGGGAGGGCAGTGGGGGCGAGTGGTCAGAGCAGCGTGGGAGCCAGGACTCCTGGGTTCTCTCTCCAGCGCTGGGAGGGCAGTGGGGGCGAGTGGTCAGAGCAGCGTGGGAGCCAGGACTCCTGGGTTCTCTCTCCAGCGCTGGGAGGGCAGTGGGGGCGAGTGGTCAGAGCAGCGTGGGAGCCAGGACTCCTGGGTTCTCTCTCCAGCGCTGGGAGGGCAGTGGGGGCGAGTGGTCAGAGCAGCGTGGGAGCCAGGACTCCTGGGTTCTCTCTCCAGCGCTGGGAGGGCAGTGGGGGCGAGTGGTCAGAGCAGCGTGGGAGCCAGGACTCCTGGGTTCTCTCTCCAGCGCTGGGAGGGCAGTGGGGGCGAGTGGTCAGAGCAGCGTGGGAGCCAGGACTCCTGGGTTCTCTCTCCAGCGCTGGGAGGGCAGTGGGGGCGAGTGGTCAGAGCAGCGTGGGAGCCAGGACTCCTGGGTTCTCTCTCCAGCGCTGGGAGGGCAGTGGGGGCGAGTGGTCAGAGCAGCGTGGGAGCCAGGACTCCTGGGTTCTCTCTCCAGCGCTGGGAGGGCAGTGGGGGCGAGTGGTCAGAGCAGCGTGGGAGCCAGGACTCCTGGGTTCTCTCTCCAGCGCTGGGAGGGCAGTGGGGGCGAGTGGTCAGAGCAGCGTGGGAGCCAGGACTCCTGGGTTCTCTCTCCAGCGCTGGGAGGGCAGTGGGGGCGAGTGGTCAGAGCAGCGTGGGAGCCAGGACTCCTGGGTTCTCTCTCCAGCGCTGGGAGGGCAGTGGGGGCGAGTGGTCAGAGCAGCGTGGGAGCCAGGACTCCTGGGTTCTCTCTCCAGCGCTGGGAGGGCAGTGGGGGCGAGTGGTCAGAGCAGCGTGGGAGCCAGGACTCCTGGGTTCTCTCTCCAGCGCTGGGAGGGCAGTGGGGGCGAGTGGTCAGAGCAGCGTGGGAGCCAGGACTCCTGGGTTCTCTCTCCAGCGCTGGGAGGGCAGTGGGGGCGAGTGGTCAGAGCAGCGTGGGAGCCAGGACTCCTGGGTTCTCTCTCCAGCGCTGGGAGGGCAGTGGGGGCGAGTGGTCAGAGCAGCGTGGGAGCCAGGACTCCTGGGTTCTCTCTCCAGCGCTGGGAGGGCAGTGGGGGCGAGTGGTCAGAGCAGCGTGGGAGCCAGGACTCCTGGGTTCTCTCTCCAGCGCTGGGAGGGCAGTGGGGGCGAGTGGTCAGAGCAGCGTGGGAGCCAGGACTCCTGGGTTCTCTCTCCAGCGCTGGGAGGGCAGTGGGGGCGAGTGGTCAGAGCAGCGTGGGAGCCAGGACTCCTGGGTTCTCTCTCCAGCGCTGGGAGGGCAGTGGGGGCGAGTGGTCAGAGCAGCGTGGGAGCCAGGACTCCTGGGTTCTCTCTCCAGCGCTGGGAGGGCAGTGGGGGCGAGTGGTCAGAGCAGCGTGGGAGCCAGGACTCCTGGGTTCTCTCTCCAGCGCTGGGAGGGCAGTGGGGGCGAGTGGTCAGAGCAGCGTGGGAGCCAGGACTCCTGGGTTCTCTCTCCAGCGCTGGGAGGGCAGTGGGGGCGAGTGGTCAGAGCAGCGTGGGAGCCAGGACTCCTGGGTTCTCTCTCCAGCGCTGGGAGGGCAGTGGGGGCGAGTGGTCAGAGCAGCGTGGGAGCCAGGACTCCTGGGTTCTCTCTCCAGCGCTGGGAGGGCAGTGGGGGCGAGTGGTCAGAGCAGCGTGGGAGCCAGGACTCCTGGGTTCTCTCTCCAGCGCTGGGAGGGCAGTGGGGGCGAGTGGTCAGAGCAGCGTGGGAGCCAGGACTCCTGGGTTCTCTCTCCAGCGCTGGGAGGGCAGTGGGGGCGAGTGGTCAGAGCAGCGTGGGAGCCAGGACTCCTGGGTTCTCTCTCCAGCGCTGGGAGGGCAGTGGGGGCGAGTGGTCAGAGCAGCGTGGGAGCCAGGACTCCTGGGTTCTCTCTCCAGCGCTGGGAGGGCAGTGGGGGCGAGTGGTCAGAGCAGCGTGGGAGCCAGGACTCCTGGGTTCTCTCTCCAGCGCTGGGAGGGCAGTGGGGGCGAGTGGTCAGAGCAGCGTGGGAGCCAGGACTCCTGGGTTCTCTCTCCAGCGCTGGGAGGGCAGTGGGGGCGAGTGGTCAGAGCAGCGTGGGAGCCAGGACTCCTGGGTTCTCTCTCCAGCGCTGGGAGGGCAGTGGGGGCGAGTGGTCAGAGCAGCGTGGGAGCCAGGACTCCTGGGTTCTCTCTCCAGCGCTGGGAGGGCAGTGGGGGCGAGTGGTCAGAGCAGCGTGGGAGCCAGGACTCCTGGGTTCTCTCTCCAGCGCTGGGAGGGCAGTGGGGGCGAGTGGTCAGAGCAGCGTGGGAGCCAGGACTCCTGGGTTCTCTCTCCAGCGCTGGGAGGGCAGTGGGGGCGAGTGGTCAGAGCAGCGTGGGAGCCAGGACTCCTGGGTTCTCTCTCCAGCGCTGGGAGGGCAGTGGGGGCGAGTGGTCAGAGCAGCGTGGGAGCCAGGACTCCTGGGTTCTCTCTCCAGCGCTGGGAGGGCAGTGGGGGCGAGTGGTCAGAGCAGCGTGGGAGCCAGGACTCCTGGGTTCTCTCTCCAGCGCTGGGAGGGCAGTGGGGGCGAGTGGTCAGAGCAGCGTGGGAGCCAGGACTCCTGGGTTCTCTCTCCAGCGCTGGGAGGGCAGTGGGGGCGAGTGGTCAGAGCAGCGTGGGAGCCAGGACTCCTGGGTTCTCTCTCCAGCGCTGGGAGGGCAGTGGGGGCGAGTGGTCAGAGCAGCGTGGGAGCCAGGACTCCTGGGTTCTCTCTCCAGCGCTGGGAGGGCAGTGGGGGCGAGTGGTCAGAGCAGCGTGGGAGCCAGGACTCCTGGGTTCTCTCTCCAGCGCTGGGAGGGCAGTGGGGGCGAGTGGTCAGAGCAGCGTGGGAGCCAGGACTCCTGGGTTCTCTCTCCAGCGCTGGGAGGGCAGTGGGGGCGAGTGGTCAGAGCAGCGTGGGAGCCAGGACTCCTGGGTTCTCTCTCCAGCGCTGGGAGGGCAGTGGGGGCGAGTGGTCAGAGCAGCGTGGGAGCCAGGACTCCTGGGTTCTCTCTCCAGCGCTGGGAGGGCAGTGGGGGCGAGTGGTCAGAGCAGCGTGGGAGCCAGGACTCCTGGGTTCTCTCTCCAGCGCTGGGAGGGCAGTGGGGGCGAGTGGTCAGAGCAGCGTGGGAGCCAGGACTCCTGGGTTCTCTCTCCAGCGCTGGGAGGGCAGTGGGGGCGAGTGGTCAGAGCAGCGTGGGAGCCAGGACTCCTGGGTTCTCTCTCCAGCGCTGGGAGGGCAGTGGGGGCGAGTGGTCAGAGCAGCGTGGGAGCCAGGACTCCTGGGTTCTCTCTCCAGCGCTGGGAGGGCAGTGGGGGCGAGTGGTCAGAGCAGCGTGGGAGCCAGGACTCCTGGGTTCTCTCTCCAGCGCTGGGAGGGCAGTGGGGGCGAGTGGTCAGAGCAGCGTGGGAGCCAGGACTCCTGGGTTCTCTCTCCAGCGCTGGGAGGGCAGTGGGGGCGAGTGGTCAGAGCAGCGTGGGAGCCAGGACTCCTGGGTTCTCTCTCCAGCGCTGGGAGGGCAGTGGGGGCGAGTGGTCAGAGCAGCGTGGGAGCCAGGACTCCTGTGTTCTCTCTCCAGCACTGGGAGGGCAGTGGGGGCGAGTGGTCAGAGCAGCGTGGGAGCCAGGACTCCTGGGTTCTCTCTCCAGCGCTGGGAGGGCAGTGGGGGCGAGTGGTTAGGGCGGGAGGGGGAGTTGCTCACCTGAAGAGGGTGGCGTCAAGGTAGCAGGAGTTGCAATGACCCTGGATCCCCTTTTTCCAGCCCGTCAAGCGCTGGCCCCCTTCCTCGCCCAGCTCCGGGGGCGGGGCCTCCGGCACCCGCTTGCTGGCATACACCCTGAAATCTGGGGGGGATAGAGGGAATCAGACCTGGGGGGGACTCTGTTCCTCCAGCCCCAGAGGGGTGCAACCCCTTTGCCCCGTCCGCCTCCCCCTCCCCCTCCCAGTGTCCTACCCAGCGAGTTGCAGCGCAGCACGTGCCCCGAAGCGGGCGTCGGGCCGGCAGCGGCGCAGCTTGACGAACAGGGCCTTGCCGGGCGGGCACTGGAAATACCGCACCCCCCGGTAGATCCCGTCTGTACAGCCCGAGGGGAGGGGGTCCTCCTAGAGAGAGGGGCAGGGATCATGTCAAAGGGGGAGCCAGGGTCCCTAGGACGAGCCCAGGGGGTGGCCTTAACCTCCTCAAGCCCCAACCCATGCCCCATGGGGGTGACCCCACAAAGGACGGGACTGGGGGGGGTCCCATAAAGCCCCCGTATCTGTCCCCGTTGGTCTCTCACCAGCTCCAGCCCTGCAAGGGTCTCCCTCACATCCGGCGGCTCCCCAATCCAGCGGATCACCCCGTAGATGGGGGGGTCGTGCACCTCCACCATAGAGTTGATCTCCAGCAGGGGTGAAGACAACTCTTCCTCTTCTTCCTCTTCCCCCCGATCCTTGGGGTCTCCCGTCAACGGGGAGGAAGGGGAACCAGGAGGGGACCTCCATTCTGGCTGGGGCGGGTACCGGATGG